TTCAGCACACAAGCTGCTTCTCTTCAGATTAGCCTGGGGAAACTGAGTCCAGCTTTCTGGACTTTCTGCGGCTCACTGGGGGACCTGGATGTGACTGGGCATAGGCTCTCGCCTGCTCTCAGTTTGAGCTGTCCTCCCTGTAGAAGTTGGGCTTGATCGAGCCTGGTCTGCATGTAATGAATTATTGAGGTATTGTCTCCATGGTTGTGTCTGAGAAAACAACACGTTTTCTCTGTCAGGTTCGTGACTAATATAAACATCAGATCCCGTTATGGCTTGGTAATTACCCAGGGTCTGGCCCGATGCATCCAATCAGGACTGGAGCTCCAGTGCCTCAGAATTCTTGATTCCAGATCAGACCTGCAGCCTCATCTCGTCTTGGGGATTGCCTGCATTGGATGACCTTCAGATAATTCTCTTTGATCAGGTCACTTAGGGTGGCCTTGGAGAAGCTCTCAGGTCCCAGTCACAGGGGAGTTAGAGCTGACCTTCCCTCGTGCAGAGAGATTTTTGCTGCTCATTCCTGGCTCTCTTTGTGCAAATGCACACTTCAGTAGAGATTCAGCAGTCAGACCCAAGTGCAAATCCTGGATCTTATTAGCAGGGCATCTTTGGCTGTTAGCCATATTGCACCTTGGTTTCTTCATCTGTAAAAAGAGCATAATGATGCTTACTTTGTAGGATGCTTATGAGGAGTAGCAATAATGGGTATACAGGACCCAGCAAATGCCTGGCACTAAGCAGGCTTCCTGTAAATAGCTCACAAAGTGGTGAGTTTGTTTTCTCTTTGATTCCTTGCGTGTTTGGCCCCAGACGGGCACAGACGACAACAAATAGAACTTTTGAACCCAAAGGAACCTCTATACTCTGAAGTCTACTGTCCTTGGGTCAAACAACCAGCTAGGGTGACACTGAGACTTGGGCTCATGGCTCTTGGCTGTGGCAAGGCTGGAAGATTGGGGAGGGGCAGCCAGGGAAGTGTCCGTGGATGGGGGCCTGCCAGGACAGCTGCCGTTTTGATGGTGGGGACATCAGTGGACTAGCGTTGACCAGTGTTAACGCTGTGGGGCTCCGGGAATGATAGACTGAGAGGGTGTGAAATGTTTGGTAGGAGGGCAGGGCTGGCCAACGTCATACCATTGAGAAGGGAGGACTTTCATCCCGTTACCCCAGTCCAGAGCTCGTAGACCTGTTCCCCTGACAATGCCACAGTTTCCTGGGCAGCGTTCTCTGTAACAGGACCAGCTTTCCTCCCAGTGCTGTTTCCCAAAGTGCGTTCCGTGGAGCACTTGTCCTTGCACTTACCTTGCGGAAAATGTTGGGAGTCTTGGTATACCTGAGCACCCCCTTGAAGAGTCAGATCACAGGTGGGGAGAAGCCCTGTAGTAGAGAAATTGGTCAAACTGCTCTTAACTGGGCTCACTTCGAGCAGCCTTGCCTTGCTGTCAAGACTGCTATGTAGTACCTGAGTCCGCCTGTGACCTTGGGCAAGGACTTCACTGCTCTGCACCTCAGTTTCCCCATCTGCAAATTGGGGATTGTAACAGAGCACAGCCCTGTGGGGTAGGTGCTCTCTCTAGCCCTATTTTGTAGACTTTCCTAGGAGGACACTGGTGACCTAAAGCCTTGGGCTGACTCTGTATCCAGGTGCCCTGGGGACTTATCCAAACATGTATCAGGAGGAGAGGAAGAGCTGCCCTATCACGTGGTCTGGGGCAGAGAGAATGCCAAGGCCAAGGCCGAGTGGGCCCCTTCTTTGCCTTGCTCCTGTCCTTTTTCCTGGAGGGGGACATTAATTGGGTGTCTCGTAGCACGGAGTAAGTCCTTGCTTTGGGTCCCTCTCTCTGTCTCACCGGGGCAGGAGAAGCGTGCTGCTGAAACCGCCTGGCACTGGATTGCAATGCCGGGACCTCTTTCCCAAAGTGGGCAGCAGGGGGGCCCCAGCTCACAGTGGCAGTGGCCATATGCTGACTTTTGAAACACAGCAGGCAACACCACCATCTTGGGACTTCAGAGCTGTGGAGTCCCTGGAGGGGTGCCCCTGTGCCTCCAGTGGAAAGGGCTGTGTCTGTGCAGTGATTCCGAGCTGCTGGGCTGTGCGGGAAATACTGGCCTTCGTGGACCCGTGTCTGGGGGTCAGGCAAGGCCAGGCCTCCTGCAGCACCTCTGAGATTCCACAGCCTTTCAGTGCATGGCAGGGAGCAGATCAAAAGTGCTTCCTTTTTTGAAATGCTACTTAAGTAGGTGGAATCCTGGCCCTGGGCACACAGAGAAGGACTCTCCCCCTCCCAGGCAGAGGTGTCTTAGCATTCTGGGTAGAAGTCTCAAGGAATGTTCAGTTGGGATATCAGATCTCTGCTTCGGAGGGCTGGAGAGAGTGTTTGTCTGGTCCCGGGGCTTGTCACATGTTAATATGCATAAGAATCACCTGGGGTAGCCATTAAAAATGCAGCTTGTGATTCCCACAGAAGGTCCAGGTCGGGCCTGAGATTCTGCACATCTGACAAGACATGGAGCAGGGCGGGTGCCTATGTTGTGCAGGCCACACTTCGAGTAGCAAAGATCTGGACTCCAGTCAGTCCCTCTCTGAAGAAAAAAAGCCTATTTTTTTTTGCTTTAACTTAATTTTTTTTAATTTACATCCAAATTAGTTAGCATATAGTGCAACACTGATTTCAGGACTAGATTCCTTAGTGCCCCTTACCCGTTTAGCCCATCCCCCCTCCCAAAACCCCTCCAGTAACCCTGTTTGTTCTCCATATTTAAGTCTCTTATGTTTTCTCTTCTTTCCTGTTTTTTTTTTTTTTAATTTTTTTTTTAACGTTTATTTATTTTTTTGGGACAGAGAGAGACAGAGCATGAACGGGGGAGGGGCAGAGAGAGAGGGAGACACAGAATCAGAAACAGGGTCCAGGCTCTGAGCCATCAGCCCAGAGCCCGACGCGGGGCTCGAACTCACAGACCGCGAGATCGTGACCTGGCTGAAGTTGGACGCTTAACCGACTGCGCCACCCAGGCGCCCCTCTTCTTTCCTGTTTTTATATTATTTTTGTCTCCCTTTCCTTATGTTCATCTGTTTTGTCTCTTAAAGTCCTCCTATGAGTGAAGTCATATGATATTTGTCTTTCTCTGACTAATTTCACTTAGCATAATACCCTCCAGTTCCATCCATGTTGTTGCAAATGGCAAGGTTTCCTTCTTTTTGATTGCCGAGTAATACTCCATTGTATATATATGCCACATCTTCTTTATCTAGTCATCCATCAATGGACATTTGGGCTCCTTCCATACTTTGGCTGTTGTTGACAGTGCTGCTATAAACACGGGGGTGCACGTGTCGCTTCGAAACAGCACACCTGTATCCCTTGGATAAATGCCTAGTAGTGCCATTGCTGGGTCGTAGGGTAGTTCTATTTTTAGTTTTTTGAGGAACCTCTATACTGTTTTCCAGAGTGGCTGTACCAGCTTGCATTCCCAAAAAGCCTATTTTTAAATATGGAAATTCCCAGCTCTTCAGCGGTGGGGAGGGATCCTGTGCCAGGACAGCCAGGTCGGGACGACTCCGCACAAGCCCCTTGGAGCCTCTGCGGTTCAGACTGGGCCCTGACTGCTAACACCCACTGTTCGGGTGCCTGCTCCCAAGGAACCCACAAGAGCTGTTGGTGGAGGGTTGGGTTGTGGCGGCCAGAGCAGTGGTCCGCAGAGATACAGGGTGGGGTGTGTGCGTTCCCCGCCCATCAACATGCGGGTTCCTCCTCTCTCCAGTTGGTCACACTGCAAGGGGCTAGGCTTCCCGAGGTCCAGGATGGCAAGCCTGCCAAACCAACTTCTTGCAAAATTAAAGGCTGGTGGCGTAGCCAGGCCTGCACCGTGGTGATGCTCCAGGAAGCCAGCTGCTGGCCATTCCCTCTGGAGTGTTTGAAGTCCGCGGACAGCAAGACCGCCAGCCCGATTTTCCACAGGGACCTGGGTGGGTCTTCCCAGATGGAGGGTTCAGCTTAAAAGGGTTGGACTCAAGACCGATGCTGAGTGTGGGGAGATGGGTGGCGCGGCACGGTGCTGGGCCCCCTCAGCTGCTCTTCTCAGGGGTTCTGTCAGGGGAAGTTGAAAGTCGTTCTTTTGTCACCCTAGCGTATTAGGGTTGTTTGCAGCTCACACTGCCAGGGACCCTGTCCTGGAGCTGTGCTGTTGATGTGGTTGCACTGTCAATGAGGAGCAGTCGGACCAAGCTTTGAGCCCTGAGTGTCTTCAGCGGCCAGAAGGAGGAAGGGCTTAGTGCAGTGGCAAGCACACAGTAGGTCCTCCGTTGAATGTTATGGTTACGATTGTTGTTGATTTTGCTTTTACCACCTGGTGAGTACATACTCTGTGCGCAAACCAGGCTGGGTGCTAGGGGAAGAATAAGACCCAGTTGTGACTTTGTTTTTAATGTATATTTTTGAGAGAGAAAGAGACAGAGCATGAATGGGGAGGGGCAGAGGGAGACACACACACACACACACACACACACACACACACACACACACACACAGAATCTGAAGCAGGCTCCAGGCTCTGGAGCCCGACACGGGGCTTGAACCCATGAACTGCGAGATAATGACCTGAGCTGAAGTTGGATGCTTAACCGACTGAGCCACCCAGGGACCCCTTTTAATGTTTATTTTTGAGAGAGAGACAGACACAGAGTGTGAATGGGGGAGGGGCAGAGAAAGACACACACACACACACACACACACACACACACACACACACACACACAGAATCTGAAGAAGTCTCCAGACTCTGAGTTGTCAGCCCAGAGACAGATGTGGGGTTCGAACTCATGAACCATGAGATCATGACCTGAGCTGAAGTCAGATGCTTAACCTACTGAGCCACTCAGGTGCCCCCCGGT